ACCCCTGGGACTCTTGGGACTCCATGCCCCCCAAAACCTCATGATTCACCCCAAAACCCCTCTATCCACCCCAAAACCCCATTATTATCCCCAAAACCCACTTTTTACCCCAAAGCCCCCTTCCATCCCCACCCAGAGCACCCCACAGATGCACGGGTGCTGCCTGCACCCCTGGGACTCCAGGCACCCCAAACCCCTCTATCCACCCCAAAACCCCATTATTATCCCCAAAACCCACTTTTCACCCAAGGGCCCCCCTCCATCCCCACTCTCAGATCACCCCACGGATGCTCGGGTGCTGCCTGCACCCCTGGGACTCCAGGCACCCCAAACCCCTCTATCCACCCCAAAACCCCATTATTATCCCCAAAACCCACTTTTCACCCAAGGGCCCCCCTCCATCCCCACTCTCAGATCACCCCACGGATGCTCGGGTGCTGCCTGCACCCCTGGGACTCCAGGCACCCCAAACCCCTCTATCCACCCCAAAACCCCATTATTATCCCCAAAACCCACTTTTCACCCAAGGGCCCCCCTCCATCCCCACTCTCAGATCACCCCACGGATGCTCGGGTGCTGCCTGCACCCCTGGGACTCCAGGCACCCCAAACCCCTCTATCCACCCCAAAACCCCATTATTATCCCCAAAACCCACTTTTCACCCAAGGGCCCCCCTCCATCCCCACTCTCAGATCACCCCACGGATGCTCGGGTGCTGCCTGCACCCCTGGGACTCCAGGCACCCCAAACCCCTCCATGCCCCCCAAAACCTCATGATTCACCCCAAAACCCCTCTATCCAACCCAAAACACCATTATTCACCCCAAAACCCCATCATTCTCCCCAAAACCCACTTTTTACCTCAGGGCCCCCCTCCATCCCCACCCACAGCACCCCACGGCTGCACGGGTGCTGCCTGCACCCCTGGGACTCCAGGCACCCCAAACTCCTCCATGCCCCCCAAAACCTCATTTATTCACCCCAAAACCCCATCATTGTCCCCAAAACCCACTTTTCACCCAAGGGCCCCCCTCCATCCCCACTCTCAGATCACCCCACGGATGCTCGGGTGCTGCCTGCACCCCTGGGACTCTTGGGACTCCAGGGCCCCCCAGACCCCATTATTCACCCCAAACCCCCGTGATTCACCCCAAAGCCCACCTTGCCGCTGTCGAGGCGCACGCGGTCGCCCAGCTGCAGCCCGAGGCAGAGCAGCATGAGGTTGCACCCCAAAACCCCGTTATTCACCCCAAACCCCCGTGATTCACCCCAAAGCCCACCTTGCCGCTGTCGAGGCGCACGCGGTCGCCCAGCTGCAGCCCGAGGCAGAGCAGCATGAGGTTGCACCCCAAAACCCCGTTATTCACCCCAAACCTCTCCCTTCACCCCAGTCCCCACCCACAGCACCCCATGGCTGCTCGGGTGCTTCCTGCACCCCTGGGACTCTTGGGACTCCCGGGCCCCCCAGACCCCATTATTCACCCCAAACCCCCGTGATTCACCCCAAAGCCCACCTTGCCGCTGTCGAGGCGCACGCGGTCGCCCAGCTGCAGCCCGAGGCAGAGCAGCATGAGGTTTCCGGGGAGGTTGTCGTAGTTGGGGAGGGTGACGCGGGGGAGGCTGCAGCTGAGGGGCACCGCGTCCAGCAGCAGCTGCCGCAGCTCCCGCGCCGCCAGCGCCGCCTCCGCCTTGTCCAGCGCCATGTCCGTGGGGTCCGGGACCACCTCGGCCGCCACCTGCCCCTTGCTGTTCTGTGGGGGGAAGGGGGGGGAGGTTGGGGGGCGCCCCCACATCACACACCCCACCCCACCCACAAACCCCCACACCCCAATAGCCCTGACACCTCAATATCCCAGAGCGCCCCAACACCCCTGGGGGTCCAAACACTTGACCCCCAGACCCCCCTAAAACCCCAATAGCTCTGACACCCCTGTATCTCAGAGCATCCCTGGGGGTCCAAACCCACCCCCAGACTCCCCCACAACTCCAGTGGCTCTGACACCCCAATATCCCAGACCCCCCACACACCCCAATAGCCCTGACACCCAATATCTCAGAGCACCCCAGCTCCCAGCACCCCTGGGGGGTCCAAACCCACCCCCAAAACCCCACACCCCCAATAGCTCTGACACCCCCATATCCCAGAGCACCCCAGCACCCCAAAACCCCTGGGAGTCCAAACACTTGACCCCCAGACCCCCCTAAAACCCCAATAGCTCTGACACCCCTGTATCTCAGAGCATCCCTGGGGGTCCAAACCCACCCCCAGACTCCCCCACAACTCCA